AAAAAACCCGTCCTTCTCCCCGGGGGTTTTGCAGCCCTTGCTCCTTGGCTCTTTGGGGAGATCGTTAACAGGAACAGACGACGGCATGGACGCTGCCGTGTGGCTAAATACTAAAATATAGTGCTGAAATTTGATTTATTGGGAAAGCCTCAAACTCTGACCTAACTCCCCAGACCCCACCTGAGTGCTGGCTGACCTACACAGGGAACTGCCATATGCCACATTCCTTAAATGTGGCCGTGAGCAAGGTGCAAGATAATTTCCATGGTTTCAGGGTGCAAGTTCCCTGCAATAACGACGCTTAGCATACAGCTGCTCCAAAGGGCCTTCCTCCAGCCTGGCCGCTTCTACAGCAGTCATCCCTCCAGTATCTGCACTCGTCGTAGCTATTGCCCTGGTTGAAATCAGTACAAGGTCCGCTAGCGTGATTTCCAGGCGTGACGATAGCATCTCTGTTTTATCCGCGCAGGTATTGTGTGTGTCATCAACTGCATCATTGGCCTGACTTTCACCATGGAGGCTGGAAATTACTGGTTTGACATATTCAATGACTACGCAGCCACCCTCTCGCTGCTGCTTATCGTGCTGGTAGAAACCATTGCTGTGTGTTACATTTACGGGATAAGAAGGTAAAAGCTGGAAAGCTCCTTTCTTCATAGCGTGTTTGCAAGCAGGATAGAGGGGATGGGAACCCCCCCCGCCGCGCAGATGAACAGCGCCAAGAGTGAAAAATACCACCTTGGACAACATTTTTCTCCTATGCGATGGTATCAGTCAGGTGCTTGGGGTCACACCTGCCCTACAGGGCCTTCCTGGGGTTTTGGGTACACGGGGCGGCACGGCCCAGGCTGGGCAGCCTGAGCACACCTGCGCCAGCAGCAGCTCCCACGCCTGCCCTCCTGCACTGCAACCCGCTGGCCTCGCAGCTCTGCTCCGACCCTTACATCCAGCGGATTTGTGCCCGCGTGAAACTACACCCTTTTCCTGACACTGTGGGAACCCCCAAGGGGCACTACCTCCAGAGCTCTGAATTTAGGGATTATCTGGCCTTACTACAGGGGAAAAAGCCCGAGGCTGCTAGCTCCAGTACTGCAATTTCTAATTTGCCCTCTGCAAGTACTGTGCCTGTAGCCTGGGCAGCGCTAATGAGCTGTACGCGCTGTTCCCTTCTCCCTCCGTTTCTTGCCTTTGGTCGAAAGAGCATCTTCTGCCAAAACTCTGCTTCTCCTTTCAAAGTAGTTCAGCACAAGCACCGTAGCGCTGCCAGGCTGCTGACAGCCAGCCTGGTGGCAGGGCTGCTGCCCTGGCGCCGCGTTGCTGCTCTCGCAAGTCACCCCAGGCGTCCTCAAGGGAGTAACCGCCAGGCTGGCGGGTAAAGGCGAGCGCTGGCGTCGGGGACCGTTTTACACAGTGCAGAGAGGTGTTCACGCTCAGGGCATCTAAAGAAAGGAAGTTTTAATATTTGCTTTGTCCATCTGCTAACAACGCGCACATGCAGCCGCATACATTGCAATTATGTCCTTGGCACGTCCAAAGCCTTCAAGTCACGGCCAGTTTTGCTGTGTGATTTCAAGTAGCGTATCCAGCATCAGGATTTCCCCAAAGATAGCCAAACGGCAGTGATGAGAATGTCTCAGCTCCACAAAGATGAGCAGTGTGTTTTCTCCGGGCCTCTTAAGTATAATCTCTTTTGTCAGCCTATTGAACTAATGCTTTGAATTTATTTAAGGAGAAATCGGGGGGGGGCGGGCTGCTTGTTCACTTAATTTTTACTGCTTTTTATTTTGGGATCCTGTTGTAAGCCCTGCTATCGTTTTACTCGCTTTCAGCCTCACCGTATGATTCTAGTGAGCCAGTTTCTTTTTTTCCCCTTCCTCTGCCCGCATTATTTAACCCTTTAGGTGTTTGTAAACACATATGGAACTGTTCTCCAGAATATATACTTTTTTTTTTTTTAACACAGATTTGAGAAAGATCTTCACGCAATGATTGGACATAAGCCAAGCTGGTATTGGAAAATTATGTGGGCTTTTGCTAGTCCTTTGCTAATAATAAGCCTATTTATATTTTACATCACCGACTATATCCTCACAGGAACACTGCAATACCAAGCATGGGATGCCACACAGGTAAAACAGCTTTTTTTTTTTTTCTTTTTAAATTAAAACCACTTTCACAAATCCCTGCAAGGATATAAGGACACAGAACGTTCCTTCCTAACTCCAGCCTCCCACCAAACTGCCTTTTCAAAGTTTGCAGCTGGAACCAATGCCATTTCTTAGTTTTGTGGTAATGTAAAACAGGGAAAACCTGAGCTTGTTGCAACAACACAGTGGCTCTATAAAATGGACTAATTTCCCTCTAAAATTCTTACAAATTGATGAATTCAAACCAAAAAATGTTAGTAGTGTTCACTGAAAAATCAAAATATTATCTTAAAAATACCCTTTAACCAGAAGCATTTACTTTCAAACAGTAGTATTTTGAATAAAACCAGTGATATTTTAACACAACTGAACTGCTGCTGGAATAAAGCAAACTGTTTTCATGAACCACTTCGGTTTTGATTCAAAACTTCCAGCTATGTTTTTCTTTGTGGCCAAAATAATTTTGTAAAAGTGCTGAACTGCTTATTTATTGCAGAGGAATTACTACTGCATAAATAATTACTAGCTTCATAACCTTTTGTGGAAACATTTCTTGCACATAGAAAAAATAAAAAAAGTACCGTTTTCGAATCATCACTAATTTGGGTGCCTGTAAAGGGCCTGGCTTGCTGACTGGGTAACAGCAGGAGCCCACCGGTTCCAGGAAAGGAATGAAAAGACCTTAGAGAGGTCAGTGCTGAGCAACCTCATTAAGGAAAGACAGGCAAGCCAAAATCTGTTCTCTTAAAGTAGACCAAAACTTCAAGAAAAAGAATTGTCAATATTTGTGTCACGTGAATTTACCTATAGCAGGGTATTTTAACTGTTTACAAGGACAGAGCTACCGTAACAGAGCTACCTTCAGCTGGTGAGGTTGGTCCAAAAACCACCTTTGAGGACAGACATGAGCTGCTCCAGCCCACAAAGCACAACTGCTTCCTGCTTTTTTTTTTTAAATATGTATGTGGAGCTTTGCTAGAGCCCTGCCTGACTACACCACTGCAAAACCCGAAGATCCAGCACTTCAGGCCAGTCAGGTGCAGAGGGCCTGCACAAACTCACCTGTGCTAACGATCTTGTCTTGCTTGCAGGGGCAACTGGTGACAAAGGATTACCCCAGCTATGCCCTGGCTGTGATTGGGCTGCTGGTGGCAGCATCCACCATGTGCATCCCCATGGGGGCTCTGATAACTTTTATTAGCAGGAGGCTGAAGAGGGAAAACATTTGCATGGTTGCATGAACACAGACCAGGGGACTCACGAAGACCTTTCCCGCAGTGCCAGTGACTGGGCACTTCTGGAAGACCACAGCAACCTTTATTTGCAGCAGCCGTTCATAGATTGAGAACCTCGGGTGCTGTATTTACCAAAAAGTGCTCTTAGGAGGTCCCACAACAGTTCAGAAAAAAAACAGAAAAAAGCTCTTCTGTAAGAGATGAAGCTTTAAGATGGCCTCTGTAAGGGGGGAACGGGGAGGGGGGAACAGAACAGCAGCTCACAACATGCTATTTAGCACAAACTAACCAGCATATTGGCTAATTATGTAACATTAGGTTGTTCTTTTCCACTCTGCCTCTGTGGAAACGGGAGCAATGAACTAAGCATGTTCTTTCACTGAAGTATCGGTATCCTTACCCTTCCAAAGAGCCAAACTTAACATGCATGCTATTTGAAATGACATCTATATTTAATCTGTTCAAGTTTTATGCTGTGAATGTAATAATTCCTTTTCTAGAAAAGGAAAATCACCAGGAAGGTATCAGAGAGAAATACAGCCAATACTGCTTCTTTTATATTTCTGCCCAGCAAAGCAGTTTTTATATAAGCTGCAAACATTCTAATTTCAAAAAAAAAAAAAATAAACAACCAATTCCAGTATGTAATTGTGTACTGTGCTGTTCTTTTTTTTTTTTCCCAAGGGATGCACTATACACTAGAAAATACCTTCTTTATAAGCCATGCCCAAAGAAGAGTGTCATGCCACATAAGTAGCTTTAGCAAAGTTCCCATCCAAGGATGTTTTAATTTTAACCACGAGATGCAACAGTCCAGCAGTTCGATAGAACTGATTAATTTCCCTATGTGAATGTTCTATAAAGAAAGTAACACAGAAATTTTTTGAACTTCACCTAATAGAAAACAGTAAAATTCTGTCTATGAACTTTAAAGAGGTCACTCTGAAAAACATTAGACATTCACAGGACATTGGTTCTTAATATAGTGTCTTAATTATGTAATTAGAAGATGACAGTTGCTTTATAAAATAGGGATTCATTTCAAACAAACATTATTACAGTACACCAACAACACAAGCATCAGCTTGAAGCAAAGAACAAGAGAGAGTTTTACAGCACTTGGGGGCGGGTAGGATCTCGACAGGGATAAGCAACACCAACAAGACACGCTTAGTCTGCCACAGCCTCTAGAAATACTCTCTCTGCAGGCTTAACTAACAAAAGAAAGACAACTTTGTGACGTTTCTTTTTATTAAAAATGGACACCGTAAACAAGACCTGTACAAAAACTATCCAAAATTGCTCAGAATTTGGTAACAGTTGCAGTGAGGAGTTATCGTCTGGGACCACCTCTTCCTCTTCCACGGCCCCTGCCTCTCCCACGGCCTCGGCCACGGCCTCTTCCAGCAACTGCGCAAATAAAACAAAAAGGATGAACCAAGTGAGATCTAGAAATACTTAACTTTTGGCAAAAACATTCTTTTCAAGCATAAACAACATTATGTCTCATCACATGCAAGCTGTAAGTCAGATATGAAGTCTGGTAATTGTCAGTATATCTCAGACAGTATTTTCATATTTCATATTCAGTTTTTCAGCATACAACTTCCATAGACTACGGTTTATGTTTGGCTTCACTCCAGATAACAAGAGGCTATAATGGCACAGTTGGCTGTTTCCAAACAATATGATAGTTTGACAAAGCACTGATTCCTCTTTTCTTTTGACAAAATCTAGTTTTTCAGAAAACAAATAGAACATTACTGCACTGAGTATTTGGTTCACACAGCATCACAGCATAACAGATTTATTGCCACAGCTCACACTGCAGGGTTTTTTTAGCGTACTGGGAATGGGAGATGCACCTTCTAATACACCATAAGATTTCCAAGTGCACTCCTTTTCACTTACCCATGTGAAACGGCTGCATTTCTCAAGGATCTGAGCATCAAACAGTTCCTACCGTTTTCAACGATGCCTCTACCAATTTTGTATGTGATTATCAGGCCAACATCTTGGCTCTGTGCTCCTTCCTTGTAAATACTGCTATTTCACGGTACAGTAAAAGGAAGACAGAATCACAGAATAATGTAGGTTGCAAGGGACTGCTGGAGGTCCTATGTTCCTTACGATGACAAAGTGTCATTTTATTCTGATTTCCTAAGGAAATAGTCATATTCCATCAGGTTGCCAGCTCCCTCTAAAAACTTTTGAAATTACTTGGTAATTTCAAACAAGCTCGTCAGGGTAGGGCTCACAAAGATATCAAGATGCTTAAAACTCTTTGCAAGTGGCTGGCTGGGTAAGAGACACACACTAGCATCCACACTGAAGAAACGGGCCATAACAATTATTCTGTTCTGACAGCATGTAGGCTAGAGACACGGTAAAGACATGAAGGAGCAGAGACACGAGACGAGACAGAAGGTTGTTAAGAACCACGATTTCATTTGTTTTGCCAATAAGGGACCCTTTGTAAAATACACTGAAGTATCAAAGCCTGACTAAATGACTACAGCATCTACATGCATCAGTAGACAATTGTGTCCACTGAGAAGCACCAGTGCACTCAGGCCCAGCGCGCACGTGCCCCACACACCTCTCAGCCAACATTCCTGCCTTCCATCAACATTTTCACTCGCCAAGGACAGACCATGCGTTAAAACTTGTGACGCCCAAAGCGTTTACAGATTAAGGTAAGGTGCAATGCAATGCAATACAGCTGTGGTCTGAGAGTGCTTCAGCATAGTCAATTTGCAAGCAGCAAGGTTCAGAAAAAAAGCAGTCCAACCATGTTCCAACTTCACTAATGTGGTCAGTTTATTTTTAACGGACGCGAGAGGAGCAAAACCCTTCCAGGAGCTTCATACTTGCTCTCAATAAAGACTGCAGCCACAACAACTTGCACTTTGGAAAGCACAGACCTGAAGGTGCCTCATACCATTTCAGTAAGACAAACACACTACCTCTGACCAAATTGTAACGTACACATGGGTCAAAGACTGCAGATCCAAATACAAATACCCAAACATTCATTACAGGAGAAATCAGAAGACATTATTTTAGAGCTTAATTAGCTTTCACTTAAAAAAAAAAAATTTTTAAAAACACCAAGATCAAGCATTGTGCAAAATTTATACTGCCTAAACACACATCTACAGATTTTGTGGGGTTTATTGTATGTTAAGTTTTAATAGTGTGGATTTAAAACTGAAGTATTCTCCACACTTATGTTTGTAAGGAAAGGGTTTTGGTCAACAGCCTTTGGAGAAAAACTAAATACAATTCCCAGGAAGACCACATACAGTGGAATGCTGGAAAACTACTCATAGGAATATAGCGTAGACTTGCTGCGATTCTCAATTCCCTCAAATTCAGTTACCCTGCAGTTTATTTTTATCCACTTACCAAGCAATATTTCAACTAAGCAACCAGCACTGTTCAAGGTGCCATTTGGTACTTTCTTATTAGGCTATATGAAGTTCCCCATACAAAAGTAGAGAAATGTAGCAGATATTTTGAGAGGAGGAAACGCAAGTCTTTTTGGTGCCACCTCTGAAAATGCGATAGATTAAGATTTCCTCAAGCTTAAAAATATTTGCCTTTTTTTTTTTTTAAATGCAGACATATGATGAGCTATATACATCATTTCACACAAAAGGAAATTTTATAGATGCTAAGAAGGCAGACTTAGCAGCATCCATATCAAACCATCAAATAAAGATGAAAGAACTAGCTGCCAAATGCAGAAATTAAAATATTCTAATTAGATGTTTTACAGGATGACTGCAGAGTCAAAGTACTAAAACGCATACGCTAACCCGAAGCCAGCCAAAACCACTGTTGTGTAGCGCGGAACAAACAAAGGAGACTAGGGAATCACAAACTAACCTGCTTCTCTTTTCTTGGATTTGACTTTTGGTTCAACATCCACTAGCAAGGTATCCAGAGGCAAACTGTCTGGCAGAATGAAGTAGCGAATGTTATTCCCTCGAATACTCAGGGTCTCCAGCTGTACAGGCTCTCTGTTCTTCAGCGTCATTTTCACCGCTTTGAGATGCGTATTCATACTGACATCCACTCCTGAAACAATAAAAGTCTCATTTCAGGGATGAAAGTATACAAGATGATCGCTCTTGGTACAACTAGCTGTTTTTTAAAGTATATACCTGCTTCTAGATGTATGCTGTTCATTAACACTCACTTCTGGATCTATGCCATTCACTAATTAAGCATCCAAGTGAATGTAAACACATGTCTTTTGTCTCTTAAATTATGCTGGCTCATTTACGAGTAGCTGTCCTCAACAACTCACCGCACATTTTTTGATGGAAGAACCATTTACTGCTATCTGTACAATATCATTAGAAATCTTTATCTAGATTTAAGACAGGCATAGCAGTTTTGTAAATGATTAAAATGGTTCCTTTGCGCAATAAACAAACTACCACGTATTACAGAAGTCTAATACTAGCCTTTTTACTTTAAAAAAGGCAAAAAAACCTCTGACGAGGAAGAAACTGATCATTTCCTCTTTCTGTAAGCTTTGAAAGAAGTCCAGCTGTCAAAGCATCATTCATTTTCTGATAAAATACATCTTATACTTGTGTACTGTCTTCTTTAAAAGTATGTAAAATACACGATGGTAAGGGAAAAGCACTGTGGTTACTAACTCAGTGCTGAAGAGCTGACGTACAATAATTGTTTGCTCTCCCATGGAACCGGTACTGTATCCACAGTAACATGCATCATCCAAAACTGAAAAAAAATCTCAGTTGGGTGCATCTACTGAGTAACAGCCGTAAGAAGCACCATCGCTCAATTCCTACATTAATTTTGGTTTTGCACATCAGAAGCCTTGCATGGGATTTGATCTCTAACTACAATCAAAGAGAGATCTTAATTAGATCTCTAATTAAGATCAAAATGAGAGTAATTTTTTCAGAACAGAAAATTCAGACAAAAGGTAGAAATTATAATTTACAAAAAATCCGCTAATTCAGTGACAAGGCACCCCACATGAGCAAAATTTTTAGTGTATTCAAAGTGTGTGAACAAACAGCTCTGTGAGGTAAAAGCAACTATTGTCTCATTTCAAAAATATGGAAAGATAAAACTGAAAGACAAGTGCTTCATCAAGGCAAATAATGTAAACGAGTAGCAGACCAGAAATAGGACCACTGTTCTGTGCTTATGCCTTTAAATGGTTTCATAATTTTATGAATTCAGCCTAATCACCAAAGGAGCTTAGCAGAGCTCCAAAGTTCACAAAAAATGCAGTTGTGACCTCCAAGTATTTCTTCCATCCCCCCACCCCAATCCTAGATTTTACTTAAATAAAACAGTTCTCCAACATCTGTAATCCACCTGACCTGTCCCCTTATTTGTGTAACGTATGCGTAGCATAAAGCTCGCCCCTTCAGCATGCTTGCTCTGGCCAAGCATCTCCTGATACACCAGGAGATACTACATTTTGCAGATGTCACAGCAAATATTAACGTGGCTCATGCAGCAGTGTAAAGGGAAGAGTGTCATTTTAGAAACATGGGTTCCATTCCAAGTTTTTACAGATTCTTAGCACGACACAAGGCTTTGCTCAATAACTAAGCCTGCAAGAGCACCAAGGTCAGACGGAGACGTTCTTCATTTCCCACCTAGTCGGGTTCAATAGAGCATGCTGCAATCAGAGTATCAAGATGGTACATTCAGGTGCTAATCAAAGCTGATAGACCTGGCAGCAGAATAATGCCACGTTCAACAGATTTTAACCCTGCCAAACTTCAGCACATTGCTACTGACCAAAAAGGAACTTCAGCAATCGCCAGGAATACAGCTCTGCCAAGCGTGAACTTTGCTACAAATAACGTCAGGGCAGAAGAGCTTCTAAAAGCAGTCTAGGGTGCAAAGGAGACCAAGAACGTTCCTCAACTTATCCGCAAGGGTTTGCTTTAACAACAGCACACCCCATAGACCTGATTGCCTCTGAAGTAATTCTAACACAAATATTCTCAGAGCAACACCAGTCTCTGACATTATGAAAAAAACAAAACAGTCCATGCGTTTTTAAATATATAGGAAGCTGAGTTTGAAAGGCTTACCCCACAACTTTCACTTCGGTGACATAAAGGAACGCATTCATTTTATAAACTAGCACGTTTTATAGATTTACCCCTCCCTGGACATTAACGTTCACAAACTTAGATTATTACATGATAAATCATTGGCAACAGCTACGAACCAGATTCTTTACACCAGGATTCCTCTCTGCCCTGTATCCCTCATCAAGCTGTGCGTTTTCAAATCAGTTTCAGGAAATTAATGCAAGCGTACCTAAAGATGCATTCCTATATAAAGTCACCCTAAACAGAGCAAAGCTACACTCAAAATAAATAATTTCCTTCTAGATTAAAATCATCTACAGCGTACTTGGACTGACTGAAGACTACGTGAATGCTTAACATTTGCCATTTACCTACTACAGACACAAAGAAATCCTCTGCTGGTGGCTCTACTATAAAGTTCTTACATGGCTATAGTATACCAGTTTGATAGGGTGCTAGAATTAGCTCACCAACATTATCATGCTGCTAAAATTCTAAGACTAGATCATTCTTGCATCAGATTTGCTCCACAAAACAGTCTGCGTAGGTTTACTTCGTTTTCCCCTAAGCCTACTTGTAAGCAGAGCCCACAGGACCATCCGACTTGGAGGCTCCCAATAAGTACTACAATCAATCCACTATCTCCCAGCAGTGCTTATGAACAGATGGCATATTACGCTGTTGATATAGTTTGTAAGTTTGACTGCAGGTGAACTGGCCCTGATACCAGGCCAAAGATGATGGTGGTGTGTGGTAAGCCGACTGGTCAAAGCTCTTCACTGTATTTTTAGTAGCTCCTGCAAACGCCCAGACTCTTCTGCAAAAAACACACTTGATACTCGTAAAAGGATACGAACTAGAGGGTCATCATAAGAAAGAGTACAAAACAAAAAAGCCCAAGTCAAACCACAATTGCCAATTATGCGCAGAAAAGGAACAGCCGGTATTTTGCTCTAGTCTTTACCACCATGTCATACCTGTGATAGTTCCATGCACCTGCGTCCCATTCTTCAGCTCAATGGTCACAGTCTCATGACTGAGTTTCATGAGAAACCTAGAAATTAAAAAAGGTATTTTTTTTGTTTTTTTGTTACTCCCACATAAAGCCAACATGCGTTATCACATAACATTCTCTACTAGAGAACACTGATGCACGTCAGGGCCCACACCTCTCACGTTTACCAAGAAAACGCTTCCAGATCTCGCGGGTTCTACCGAAAACGTTTATTAAGGCACTGCACGAGCGCAAGACACAAGAAACCAGACGAGGCGCGACCCCTACCCGACCGGGAGGAGCCGGGACACCGCACAGCTGCTACCGACTTCAGCACCCTGCCCCGGATACTGCGCTTATCCGGAACAAAGAAGGAAACGTTTCAGCGCTTCTCAGTACCGCCAGAAAATAATTTCTGGCTTTCCCCCCCAAAAATCAGGGCTTTCTGAGCACTCCAGCCTCCCCCCA